CTTAATTAACCACATTAAAATTCCAGGCCTATTACATACTAAGGCTTAGAATTCACTAACTACAGGAACATCAATGCAGACTGGTGGAGCAGTTGCAGTAAACTTTGGGCCCATCATTTAAGAGGTTGCTTTTACTGTATTTAACAGTAATTAAAGACAATTAGAAAATATTTAATGCATATTAAGGTATTTAGAAAATACAAAAATAAATACAAATTATATATATATATATATATATATATATATATATATATATATATATATATATATATATATATATATATATATATATACACTTATATCCAGCTATTGATGAGTACAGTTGCAAACAGCATCTGGGTTTTTATGCTACTACCAGTGTTTACCATCCTAACTTTTGTTGATTTCTTTCTGTTCAGATAATGTGACAGCTAATGGGAATTCTAAAGGAGCTCCATGTGTTTTTCCATTCTTTTACAATGGAGCATATTACAATAACTGTGCTTGTTTTGATCGCCCTAATCCATGGTGCAGCACGACTAATAACTACACCAGAGATGGGCTATGGGGAGAATGCCTCTTCAATGGTAATGTTCATCAATCAATGACAATATAAAGTATCAATCTCTGAAATAATACCTTTTTATATACACTGCTAGTCAAAAAGATATTGCTGAGATGCACATCATACTCTGATGTTTAGCAGCTACTTTAGATTTTTTTTAAGGGAGAGGTCCCTTCTGTCCACCTAAAAATGAGACCACTCACTTAATTCACTAGATGCATGTGGACAGGAGTGCAAAACTGGTCTGAGAGAAGAGCGGGAAACCGTTGTATAGAGGCTAAAGTCTACATACTGCAATTCAGACATACAACTGTGCATGCAAAGTGTGCCTACAAGTACCCACATTATATTAATCTAATCTAATCTAATCTAATCTAATGCTTTGTATTGCAATAGTAAAACACAAATAAATATATTAACAGGAGTAATAATATACATATTCAGGATAGAAATTCAATTTCATTCAATCCAAGCCAATATCAATAGCATTTTTTTTTTTGTCTTTCCAAGATGTCAGTAAATTTCTTAGACTGTATTTTTCTTTAATGTGTTGGTATGTATATTTTAGCAAAATACCACAAAAAATGGTAAATGAGATGATCATTAAGAGGACAACAACAACAACAACATTAAGAGGACGTTTTGTTTTGACAACCATACCGAAGCCCCAAAATTTATCTGACATACATGTCCAGCTTTGTCACTCCCCTTAAATTTACACAAGAGAATGTGGCTGAAATCTGGGTGGTTGCTAGGGACTACTAGGAAGGATGCTCAAGAGCCACAGCATCCAATCTTATCTGTAAATAACCAGTGTGGCTGCATGTTTTTATTCCAATATGTACTCTGAAAAACAAAGATTGTTTTGGTTCTCTAATTTCCCTTTCTTTTCTTTAAAGAATCATTCTTGTAAATGAGAGGTATATGGGAGAGGCTTTTAAAAGAACCTCTACATAATATAAATGTTTAATGCTAATTTGATGATTTCCCTAGAACTGTACATCCAAGCCAAAAAATATTTAGGATCCTTTATTTTCCAGGCATAATCCAGGCAGAAATACAGCCTGATGCAACTTATCAGGTTCTGCTTCTGTATGCTTGAAGACTGAGAATTGATCATACTATCAGAAACAGGTGTGCTCAACTCTGACACAAACATCACAAAACATTGAATTCATACACCAGTGAGGGGTTCAGTTACGAATTGTGGATGTACTATTTGACTTCTTTAAGGCCTTTTTTTAAAATCAGCCTCTTATGGAGCCCTGCTGGTGACATCCCATATACATAAAATTAATGTGAGTCCACAACTTAGTAATATGTGGGAATGAGATAATTAAGTTGTGGCCATGACTTAGTAAGGCATGAGAACAAGATCCTAATGTGTTGCCACAGCTTAATAAGGTGTGGGAATGAGATATCTAAGCCTTGACCACAGCATAATAAGGCATGGTCTCATTCCTATGCCTTACAATGTCATGGCCATAACTTATCTCGTTCCTATGCCTTACTAAGCCATAGCTATACATTAGGATTTCATTTCCACATGCTATTACGGTGTGGCTGCACATTGTTTTTATTTATATGGGATGTCATCAGCAGTGCTCTCACACTCTCTCACCCTCTCAAGTATTAATTGCAATTGCAAGCCTGTATTTGTTGGCTTTGGTCTATTTTACTGAATGAAGAAAAGCATAATTAAAAATTATTTGTTTGTGTGGTTGGAATGAGAAAATCAATAGCAGAGATCTTCAGTGATCAGATAACTCAGTGGTCCTCAAAGTTGTCCATTTAGCTTATATAAATGGTCCTGGTGGGGTCAAGAAGATTCCTAGAAGGAGAAGAAAAGCACTGCACTACAGAAAGAGCATGTCTTTTGGAATTGAGAAGAAAAAAAATATCTGTAGATGCTCTGGCAGTTTCATTGGTGTTAGAGTTTAGTTCCAACTCTAATCTAACACTACTGATCCAGGTAATGTTCAGGAGCATCTAAACATTAAAACCAGGTGTGCTGGATCTGAACCATCCAGGGTTATAGATCTCCAAATCCAGAATTGTGTACCCCTGCTTTAAATCATAAAAATCATTATGGAAGACTATCACAGTGGAGTAAAGACTCGAAGATGACCTATAAAATACTGATAAACACTTTGTTTTCTATTTCCTATGTCCACACTCAGTATCATTACGAAAACACAACTTCTGGGTAATGCTTTTTGACTGCAAGTGTATGTATGTAACAAAAACGATTACAGTCTTCTTGTGACATGATGCTAATTCAGTCTTCTTCTTCTCAGATGTTTGCCTTTCACATAAGACTCTGTCTGATCCATGGAGGAACATTGGTTTTAACCTCAGCTCTTTCCCTGGCGGGCCACTGAATGATCTTAACTTGCAAGAAGGGTGGTACCACCTCACTGGTATTGGTGGAGACCGTATTGTCCATTATTGCTTGAGTATTATTTTTAATGATACCAGTGATTTTCTATTGCTTAATGACAATGGAAGTTCTGCAGATCCTGCCCTGTACACATGTGATACAGTCATTGACAGTCCACGGAGTCTAGACTGTGGTAGAGGACTGATCCTCTACTATCTCTTTCCAATGAATGGAACTTACAACACACGTGAGTAGGTCTAAACTTTTTACATAAAATTTAAGTGTTAATAATTTCTTCTATTTTTGCATATTTGCCTCACTTAAATGTTTCAGATAATCAGATTTTGTTTAAAATTAGACAAAGAAAACCCACACGAACACAAAATGCTGTTTTTTTTTAAATGAAGATTTCCTTTATTGAAGGAAAAAATGTCCTTTAGCCATACCTGGCTCTTTGTGAAAAAAATAATTTCCCCCTAAATCAACCAGTTAACCAAATTCAATTAGCTACTGGGTTCAATTTCACTAGCCACACCCAGGCATGATTACTCATCCAGGAGGTCACAAAAAAGGCAAGATGAACACCTAAAGAAATGCAGGCCTCACTTGCCTCAGTTAAGGTCAATGTACACGATTCCACAATAAGAAAGACAATGGGCAAAAATGACATCCTTGGGAGAGTTGCAAGGCGCAAAACACTGCTGACCCAAAAGAGCACAAATGCTCATCCTGCATTTGCCAAAAAACAACAAGATGACCCCCAAAACTTTTGGGATAATATGCTTTGGACTGATGAGTCAAACGTGGAACGTTTTGCAACATGGGTCCTGTTGCATCTTGCGTAAAGATAACATCACATGCCACCATAAGAACATCATATCAACAGTGAAACATGGTGGTGGTAGTGTGATGGTCTGGGGCTGCTTTTCTTCTATAGGACCTGGATGACTTGTCATAATTGATAGAGCCATGAATTCTGCTCTCTATCAGAAAATCCTGAAGGACAATTTCCACCCATCAGTTTGTGACCTAAACTCAAGCGTAGTCGAGTTATGCAGCAGGACAATGATCCGAAAGACACAAGGAAGTCCACCACTGAATGGCTAAAAAGTAACAAAATTAAGGTTTTGGAGTGGCTGAGTCAAAGTCCTGCCTTGAATTGCTTTGAGATGATATGGCAAGACCTTAAACATGCAGTTCATGCTCGAAAGAGTGGGTCACAATTCCTCCACAGTGATGTAAAAGACTCATCAGAACTTGTCACAATGTTTGATTGCAGTTGTTACTGCCAAGAGTGGCACAACTAGTTATTAGGTTTAGGATTTTTACTTTTTCACATGGGTGATATATGTTTTGAATAATTCTTTAGCTTCAATAAATGGAATCATCATTTAAAAGCTGCATTTTGTGTTTATGTTGTTTTTATCTTATATTAAATGATTTGGATGATCTGAAACATGCAATCGTGGCATTTAATTGTGAACTATTTTTGCTCCCACTATTTTTCCATAAAGAACATAAAACTCATACAAGTACAGTGCAGTAAAAATTTCAAATGATATTTGTTATGTCTTTGTCTGAAAGCTCACAATCTTAGGATACTATATATAACCAATCAAAATAATAGTGACTGTCCCATTCTGTGATCGAATCTCTTTTTGTGGCTTACGGTAAAATAAGTATTCAGACACTTTTGTTTTTGTTTGCAAAAATAATGGGATATGCAAAGCAGGGAAATATACATCTATGCTTCGAGGCTGAAAGGAGGAACCTCGTCAAGTAGCGTTTAATGCAAATATTCAGTTAGGACATGACAGGGCACCTCCCTGTCTCAGAATACTGTTTGATTAAGCAGCAAATAATACAACTCTTATACAGCCAGTGTAACACTAGGCTGTGTAGAGAACAGCTGCAAAAGAACAGTGCAAAGCTCGCAATAATGTAGATGGATCTCAAAGGTAAATTAAGAAATATTTGTTGGTTTATTTTGATAAACTATTTCTTTCCTCCACAGGTCATTCCTCCTGCAGTGCTTCGTCCTGTGGGCTGACTACTCACTGCAATGCTTCTGATGTTTCTGGCAGCTGTGTGTGTGACTCTGGACATTCTGCACCTGTTGGCTTCCTGACCTCAGGAACATCTTTTACATGCACAGGTGCTGGTTGGCTTAAACACACACACTCACACACAACTGTAGCCAAAGCTCTAGAGTTCTTATCAGATCTGGTGTGAATGAATCATTAACAGTGATCAACAAGGATGTGGGAAGCAGCGGTACTGAGAGGGCTGCAGCAGACTTCAGGAATCTTTTACTGCAACTGCTAAAAATAATTTGCGAGTTCGGACCATGCCTTTAAAATGTGGTGGTAGTGAAGGAAGACTGATTTAAGGAGGGGAGAGAACTCTGAGAACTTGGGCTGATGTTCTGGGGTACATCTGCCTGTCACTAAAATTGCCATGGTGTATGAGGTGTTTCTTAGGTCATTCGTGGGGAATTGCTAAGTGGTAGCTATGTGTTCTTGAAAGTGAATAGAAGTCTTGTGAAGAACGAGTGATGAAAAAAATAAAAAAATTGACACTAGAAGATGGGTCAGTATGGCTTTGAATTAGAGCTTGGGGATCTGCCCTGAGTTAATACATGCATTTTGGTGTCTGTTGGACAAATAAAAAAAACAGGGCTGTGATTTGGGTGAAAATGAATGGGACTTTATAAGAGGAAAGAGGGATAAAAAAAAATGACATATAGAGGAGTGCAGGTCAGTATGGTTTTGGATTAGAGCTTGGGAACCTGCCATGAGTGAATACATGTACTTTGGTGGCTGTCCGGAAAAAGAAAGGTTAGGGCTTTGTTGTGGGCAAAAATGAATAAGACTCTATGGGAGGAACTAGGTATGAAAAAATGACAGACAGAGAAGTGTGGGGTCAGTTTGGCTGTGGATTAGAGCTTGGGCACCTGCCCTAAACGAGGACATGTCTTTTTTTGTCTGTCAGTCAAAGTATAAGTCTTGTTTAAGGGTGAAAATAAATAGGAGTCTATGAGAGGAATGAGGGACGAAAAAAATGACACAAAGAGGAGTGTGGGTCAGTATGAATTTGCATTAGAGCTTGGGGATCTGCCCTGAGTGAGGACATGCATTTTGGTGTCTTTTGGGCAAAGGATAAAACAGGGCTGGGGTTTGGGTGAAAATAAATGGGACTCTATGGGAGAAATGAGAGATGAAAAAAAGGCAAATAGATAAGTGCGGGTCAGAACAACATTGGATTTGTGCTTGGGGGCCAGCCCTGAGATAGTGTATGCGAAACGGTGTCGTTCGGTCAAGCAGAAGTACAGTAGATTGACATGCAATTTTTCACCCTATTCATTCCTTTGGGAAAAAAAAATCAGCAAAATTCCATTGCAACACGGAATCCATGCATCCGATCAAAAAGCTGTATACAAGCCTGAATCATACAATCAGACCAGACAATCTGGAGTTGGAACAGAGTTGATATCTTGAAAACTGCGGGATGAGTTACGCAGCAAAAATTTGGAAAAAATTAAAAGAGAAGAATAATATAAATCAAATAATAATGTAGTGCAACCATAATAATGTATATAGTTTTCAAATAAAAAAAAATAAAAAATCTGCAAATTGGATTATAATACTGCTGTTAATTAGCAATCCTCTCTTTCCAGATTTCATTCCAGCACTAACAGAAGAATGCAAGGTATGTATGAATTACTGCTTACACTGTCAGAAAAATGGTGTTGTACAAGTACACTTTTGTTAATCAAGGTATAAACATTGTAAATGTTCCTTCAAAGGTAAAGCACTGGTCTTAAGATCCTTTTGTGTGCCTTAAATACGTTTTTTACAAAAGAATGGTGCATATTTGTACATTTTCATAACCCATTGCTTTAAAACAGAACAATACAATAAAAAGGCTGGAGACAAGATGAGTGGAGTCAATAGAACTAAAACTAATCATAATTAATGCAATGGAAAATTATACAATTCTGTTCCATAACAAAAGGTTCTGAAGACATACCATTGAGGAGAACCACCACAGTGTAAGGGTTCAGCCGGCCCCGCCCTGCTCTACTTAAGGTCAAGGCAAACAGTGGTGTTTGTCACACCTTTGTAGAGGGGTGACCGGTACGGTACTTAGTGTCAGAAAAGAAAAGCAAAGAAAAGAAACGAAAATAAACGAAACGAAAAGAAAAGAAACTGCCCCGAAACTAAAAAAGAAAAAGAAAAGAGGGCTGAGAGAAGAAATTGCCCCAAAACTAAAAAAGAAAAAGAAAAGAGGGTCTGAGAGAAAAACTGCCCCCAAACTAAAATAAAAAGAAAAGAGGCTGAGAGAAGAACTGCCCCAAAACTAAAAAGAAAAGAAAAGAGGGCTGAGAACACGAGAACTGTCCCAAAGCGGCTTAAAGCCACAAAAAAAAATAATAATAAATAAAAAAAAAGGAACAGAAAGGTCTGCCTCCCTTCGTTTTTGGAGTGGAAGTGTCTTTGTTTTTCCCTATTATCTATTCCCTCTCGCCTCTCTAGTTCAGCCTTTGTTTGAGCACGCTGCTCTCAGCGTCTCTTTTGTTTGCCGTTCGTCATTTTCCCGCCTTTTCTTTTCCCCCTTCCTTGAGGTGTTATTGCCAGTACCTGTGCTCGTCAGTGGCGCAGTGGTAACGCCACGAAGCGCCGATCAATACATCGCCGGTTCGAACCTGGCTTTGGGTCACCTCATGTGCATGTTTCGGATTCACAACCCAGTGTCACAAACAACTCATTTTTTTTTTTTTTTCTGTTTCCATTTCTGCACATGGGTCCGCCTCCCCGCCGTCCCCACACAGAGACAGTTTAATACTTTTTAAGGTAGAGATGATTAGTTTCAAAATAACATGCAATCACATTTCACTGCATAAAATGACTTTCCTTTATAGATTCATTGCTCAGCAAAATGTGGAGAGGATCTTCTGGAGCAGATTCAGAACCGTCCAGCACAAGTGCTTTCTAAGAACGTAAGGAACATTTGCCTAAGACCTGAATGGTAACTGAATGGGTGTTAAGATCTTTGATAGGTAGCCTGGTTTTATGTTTGGCTTTGTGGTAATGTGTGCCTCTCTTGTGATTGGTTAGGTTATGACTAAGTATTTGAATGAGGAAATGAATTGCGTGAAGGCTTTTGAGGGTACTACTACAGATAAACATGACCTGGGGTCTTACGGAAATTCTGTACTGGAAGCCACTGAGAAACTGGTGTCTGGACTTGTGATGAAGACAGACACCTACTACTCCATCAGTATCAATCTTCAAACAGTAGGTAAATAGATTCACAAATGTGAAAACTAATAATATAATCAATAATGGAGTAATGGATACAGCTTCCTACACTTTTCAAAAATGGCTTTGAAAAAAGGTTTCAATAAGCATTCTTTGGAGAGATGCAATAGAAGAACCACATACGGTTTCCTAAAGATCCTTTTAAAAGATGGTTTATGAAATATTTGTTTTTGTAAATGAGATCAAGAACTTTCTTAAAGTTGAAAGAATCTTCACATGTAAATGTGTCAAAGCAGCTTAACATTTTTCCAGTATCAGTCAATGTTGGGGGTAACAGCCCCAACCTCACTTACACAAACAAATAATGAATTTTCATTCAGGAACAGCTCTGTAAAGGTTTTATTCATGAAGGTTTTATTTCGAGGCAGCTGTTTTTAACTTTTTTCTAGTGGCTACCTTTGTTTTCAAACAGCATGATCCATTCATAAATTAGTAAAGCCAAACTAACCGTGTCTTGTTCAAATGCAGGGATAGTGACATGCCTTTCAAATGATGTTTACTGTGATTGGCTGTTTTTTTTTCCTGCCAAGAAGTAATAAGTAATCATATTACAGTTTGAGAAAGTATTTTGTCATAAGTACTTCGGGAACCCAACAATGGGGAACCTTATGCACCAAGAACTATTTATTTTTGAAAGTGTAGGTCTAGCACTTTGCTGGAAACAGCACCTAAACTATGAAGTCAGATTTCCTGCCTAAATTTTGGTCTCTATCTACCAGATGTTGAGGTTTTTGTGGTTGGGCCTAACACCTCCTTGACAGAAATACCTCAACTCAACACAAGCAATGCTTATTTGGATATTGACCTCATTGGGATTGCGAAGAACAACAATGGTATTTGTTTTATTCATTATATTTATTTGGCATTTTTTATAATTTTTTCCATATAACACCATTTACATTTTTATTAAGATATGATCCAACTTTTCAAACAAAAGCTTGCAATTATACACCATGTTAATTTCCTCACCATGAGCCAATGTTGATACTTAAATTACCTGTTGACAAGCATTCAAAAGCATTCTTTCAGTGTATCTGTTTCAGAGTATGTTATGAACTTAACGTTAGTGAGATTATGGTTGGAAGTGTCCCTCGACTGACCACAATTAATTACTTCAGTAATTATGACAGGAGTCATAAAAACATAAAATCTTATTTATTTCTACATGTATGTTTAACATTTTAGGATTCGCTGCTGTGGCTTTTATAAGCTACACCAACTTGTCAAACATTCTGAATCCCAGCCTCATCAAGCATGGTGGTAGAGATAAAGTCTTCCTGTCCACTGTGGTGTCAGTCATACTAATCAACGTCACCAACACCCAGTTCACCAAACCAGCCCGCATCACCTTCAAACACTTTACAGTGAGTTATTTATGTTTGATTGCATTATATGGAGATTTATGCAAAACATTGTACATTATACAGTCCAGTCCCCTAAATAAGTACTAGTCCAGCCCCCTAAAACAAGTAGTAAAGATAATTATTTACACTAAAGTAGAGCCAATCTAATGGCTCATTTCTCAAACACCACTGAAAGAGAGTATGCAAGTACCTCATTGTCAGTCAAATCAATATAAATGTTTCAAAACAAGGCCTTGTTTAAAATGAAGGTAAAAGTGAAAAGATTCTTTCAGGTGCGTTAAAAACTGAAGTAAAGTTGATTAACAACTGACCTGTAGGCTAATAAATACAACCAACAATGACTATAAGATAATAAGTACAATCAAGCTAACATTAGTGTGAAGAAAAGAAAAGAAAATTACATTTACCACTGTAATAAGGCTGCAAAAAAGATATTTGGCTTTCTAGCAGTAATTATAGGAGTAATGAAATTGCTATTTCATCACGTACACTAAACAAGCAGTGTGATGCACCTCCTATAGCCCTTAGAACACAATGAATTCACCTCAGCTTATAGATCATAAATGGGATTTGGTGATTACACAGTCCACTGCAGCAATGACAAGACATGCTTTTTAACATTGTGCACGAATTGTCCATCAACTGTAGCCATGAAGGGCTTAACTTGTTCAGCAACGATGTAAAGATATGCCATGCTGTGCAGACATGCTTCTGTGGAAATCTAATATCTTCTATGGTTTTAATCCATTCGGGGCAAATTCTGATAATATTCTGCACAACAATTTTGAATTCAGATGACTTATCTGGTTGTGCCCCATCTATTTGCTTGCACTGTGCTCAACATTCTCCTTCAGCTCCTGTGATCTCCTTCAGTCATCAGAGGATGGCCAATTGCTGGTAGATTTTGCATCTTGCACTCTTCACTCTTGTTAAACACCTATATCTTGTGTCTGAAAATCTTACGACAACAACCATTTTGGAGTTGCAGCAACCAGCACGCCTAGTGTCAACTGTCATGTCACATTCAACTGTCATGATCAGAGTCACTAAAGTCAGTTCTTTTGCCCATTCCAACCATCTGCATACAGCCCACAATTTGTTTAAAGTTTGAGTGAACCTAGTAAACTGGCAACCCTATGCATAATATAGGAAATGTTGTATATTTCAGACTAAATTGATTAAAACATAATTTTGTCCCTGTGTTCAGCAGTGATAAGTGTGTGTTGTAATGGGACTGTATATGTGTTCATAGGAAACTGCTTCTAATAATTAACATTTAGCACCTATGTGGCTCCCAACTCTGATCCTGGACTACCCCTGCCCTTTCGCTTTCCCTGAATAAGCACTCCTGATCCAACTAAGTAGTTAATTAACAAGCCCTTCCTGAAAGTGCCTACACAAGCAGAATAAGGGGATATCTTAGGACCAAATGAAAGAATCTGTGATTGAGCAGAAATATTTGTTGTTTCAATTTCTAAAACAAATAAATAAATAAAAAGGAACAACAAAAAAAAAAAGATACTAAAGCATCAATATACCTCATGTATACCTCTAAATGTTATGTTTAATAGAAGATATGCCAACTGTTTTTTAATAATCTCTTCTAATGTCTTGCTTTTGCTAGGAGGTTCACCCTAAAGATCATTTATCCTGTGTGACTTGGAAAGGCTCTGAGTGGATGAATGAAGGTCAGAATATTGTTCAGACCAACAGCACTCACACTGTGGTCTTCATCAGTTACCCTGGAACTTTTGCTGTCATCATGCAAATCAGCTGTTCACCGGAGGTAAGATTCTGGAACAGTTGTAGTCTCCCAGGACCAGATGTTATCTCATAGCTAGTACAGGACAACTATGAGAAATGCTGGGCTAAATGTGGGTGGGGCATTGTGCTGTTGACTTATTAGGGTGGGAACAAATTGAGAATGAAATTTCTAAACCAATCCAGTGACTCAAAATAGGGGGTTAAGTGAGTCAGCAACACTGTCCAACAGATAACAAGCATTCAATAGACCATGGATATAACATATGGCTGAAAAGTCCTCTCAAAAACCTCCAATTAGGCATGTAGATGCAGAAAAGCAGTTAACGATAGCATTTTGTTAGATAATTTTTTTACCTTGTATTATCAATACTGTGGACATTAAAAGACACACTTTCAGAAAAAAAGGTACGGTTTCCCTCTTGTCACTGGAACATAATTGTGCCATTGAAATTATATTTTCTAAGTTGTATTGGCTCCACACACCCCATCTCGCCTCCAGGCTTTTTATTTTATTGTTCTGAAAAAAATATTACGTTATGAAAAGGTACAAATATGTTCTTTTCCACTGGGAAAAAGTTATTTAAGGTTCACAATTGGACCTTTGTGAACCTTAAAACCCCTGTTGTACCTTTTGAGGGTACATTTACACTGTTTGTACTTTGATAAACATAAAATATACCTACACAGAACCTTTATTTCTAACAGTGCAGACTAGGGAAATTTAATAATGGGTTTTTAGAAGGGTGTACCTGTTTCAGGATTTCATCTCAATCCAGCACCAAAAGTTAATAACAATTATAACTTGTCCCTAGACAGGTGTTCTTGGTACAAGTTCAAGTCTAGCATGTACCAATTTTGAGGCCGGTTCCCTAATTTCAGGCTTGTCTTAAATTATTCACAGCTTAACCTGTGGCGGGGAGAGTGTATAACCTAGTCTTTACCTGATCTACTCACAGCCCAATCATGGCCCCTACAATTTAGAATTATAGAAATTAACAGCTATCAAATATTTGTGACTTGTGACTTTGTGATTGGTACAGTAATCTATACTTAATGCAAACATTAAGACGTTAAAACATATAAATTAAAATACTACAACACTGTTGACTATTGGCTGTAAAATCCCAAGCTCATGATGTTCCAAAACTTATGTCTAGCCAGTGAGCTATAGGCTAATTTGTGAAACTCCCTCACCTGTCAAACTGTATGGGAAATTACAGTTATCATAGATATAAGGTGCCCTGCGATGGACTGGCGATCTCTCCAGGGTGTATCCTGCCTTCCGCCCAATGACTGCTGGGATGGGCTCTGGCACCCCCCAACACCCCGTGACCCAGAAGTATGGATGGTTTAGAAGATGTGATGAAGATGTGACAGATACAAGGCTGCAATAGAATATTTGGCTTCTGGCAGTTAGAGTTCTAGGTTTTGAAAAGTTCCTCCCACCTTCAGTTGGTTAGTTACTCAGGTCAGATTTTCCTCATGAATATTTTGATTATGGGTGTTGAGATGAATTAAGTCAGTGTTTCTCACACCCTGTACATCAAGGCCCACTGCCCTGCAATTTTATTGTTTTATCTGCTCCCAACACACCTGATCCAACTAATCAGCTCATTAAAAACCCATTATTGAGTTACTAAGGGTGCACTAAAGCAGTGAAATTATATAGGAGTTAACATGTCATAGCAAATACCACATCATGACCAACTACATTATCAGCTAGTTGCTTACTAACCACAAACTGCATAAAAAATCTGTTCTGCATAAAATTCTTTTCCAACCTATTAGGTCATCAGTAAAGATCTATACCTACTCAACGTGGTGTCCGTGGCAGTCGGGCTGGGGTTTCTGAGCTTGACCCTGTTGACTTTTGCTATTTTTCGACACTCAAAAATGAACAGGATGGCTCAGGTCAACCTGTCCATAAGCCTGCTGTTGTCTCACCTCCTCTTCCTGCTCACAGCACATTTCCTAGACAACATATATGCTTCTCAGGTGAGTGTTGTTACCAACAGTCATTATTTGACCAATGAGTATTATTTTGAGCTGACAGTGCCAGAATAGTGTGCTATAGAGGCAAGTGAAGCAGATCTGTTGGCATGATTCAACATGTTTACATTGTTGCGCTTATGACCCTCAGTTGTGCATAATACACTAGAGTCCAGCAGAAAACATGAGTTGGTTTAACAAAAGTATTCTAGTTGTACTGTGTCAAAAATTGCTTCTCAAAACATGTAATGTAATCGGTTAGTGTTTGTTATGTTGTCAGAGTCTATTTAGGAAACAAAACACAACCTGATGTAGAAGCATTCTTTTGAAAATGAATGAATCTGAAACTCTTGTTAGGCTCTTGTTTAACTTTCAGATACTGCTGCGTTCAAGGGAGCTTACGTCTCTTTTTGGAGATCTAAGCTCTTCCTGGTACCCCATAATTTGAACATGAGGCTTGACAAAGTGATCTACTCAGCAGAATCCTCCACCATTTTAGTCACTGTAGTCATCCTGTTATGGTTTAGTTTTCCATTAAGAGTTCACCCCAGCTGTGCCTTCACTGTATGTTCATTTCCAAACCTCTCCTCATAGCAGCCCCATATATTTTGTATTTATCATCAGATGTCTGATTTGGCTAATCAATGCTTCATGTTGTTAAATCAGATGTGCTGCTGATGGTTTTAGGTCACACTTGAACCCGGCTACCCAACATTGACATAACAATGCCTTAAACATGTCATAGTAGATATTCTGTCATATGCTGTCATCATGACAAATTATGTCCAGTATTACAACAACATCATGTTACTGTATCCATTATTTGTCATTAAAGGTGACAACGCACATAGGACAATAATCTAATCTGTAATCTGTCATTTAGCTGTAAAGGGAACATGACACGACATGGTTATGTCAGTGTTGTGTCCATGCAGCAGGGTTCACGTGTTACCGAGTTTGGCTATTGCAGCTTGGCTGTTGTCATGATTATTGTTTTTGTATTTCTCTTTTATTGTCCAGTTGGTGTGTAAGGTGGTTGCAGGTGTTCTACATTTCTTGTTCCTCTCTGCTTTTGTGTGGATGTTCATTGACGCTGTTCTGCTGTTCATCTCTGCGAGGAACCTAACAAAGATCACATCGAATCAGAGGGAGGTGCTTGGCTGGAAAAGTTTCACTGTGATTGGATACCTTATTCCCCTGATTATAGTGGGCATTTCTGCTGGAATAGTGCCTGGTGGATATGGCAGTAAAAAGTAAGTACGGAGAACGCTCTAGGGTTGGACAGTTTAATGGTAATGTGGTTCCCATGCTATTTGAGAATTCTGACAGAATTTCCTCCATGAGATGTTGTCAAACATGGAGGCAGGGTGTAGCTGGTTGAGCATACTCTAGCTAGCCCAAGTGGCAAAGGTATTGTTCTCCATGTTCTTCCATTCAAAATGCCCTTATTTCATTGACAGATTTGGCTGTTGTCATGACTATTGAGTTGAAAACAATGCCAGCAGCCGTGCAGCCACATTGCATATCTAGTGCAGTCAGATGTGAAATTTAAGACTCATGTCATTGGCTTAAATTTTGCAGGTGGAAGAAAGCTACCCTAAAGCAAAAATAGAAAAGATGGCTGTTCCCAACAAACATTTGATGCACTTACTTATTTACCTAAAATAGTAATAACAAGTAATTAAAAACACATGCTAAATTTAGGCATTTTAACAAAAAACAAGTTCTGTCAAGCTTGGCCAACCTATCTAACAGTTGCTATTTAATAATATAGTTGTCAGCAGAGCATGGCTGGATAAATTCCCACTGTGTTACAATATCTTATGTACAAGGATAATTTGAGGTTGCCTGGGTAGAGTGAAAGATGCTCAGGCTGCTCTAGATTATGTGACTGATTGCATCTTCTTCTAACCAACGTCATGGCCAACTGAATCAATGTCCTCTTAAGGCTTTTAACCCCTTAAATGGCCAGGGCCTGCTAGGGGGCCCAAAGTTTTATTACACACTACTATAACCTAAAAATAAGAACCTAATGAATCCCTGTAGTTACTGAATAAAAAGCCTTAGTATGTAATAAGACTGTGATATTAAGAGGTTAAACACTGATTACACACTGATTTATTCATGCAGTTTACTCAGACAACACTAGATGAATTTGATCCCATGTATAACTGATGAGTTCTTACACACCAAATGCTAATTTTCAGAGGTTGAAAACGTGACTTTTTTCTGGCCACAGAATGAGCTGCTGCTTTTATTATTCTTTATTGTATATTCTGATTCATGTATTTTGTTTTACTTTTCCTTAATTTAATACTTGTTAATAGTCTGTGTGCTATCTGGTCTGTTCAGTATGTTACGTTATACATGTGTGCACTCACCAAGACAAATTCCTTGTATGTGTAACATACATGGCAAATTCAAATGTTTCTGATTCTAATTTTGCAAACTTTTCCTGACAAAACTCTCTGACCAATTACAGTGAATGAATTAAGCTGATGGAGCAGCTCTCTTCCAGCAAACAAAACATTTTTCCTGACTGCTAAAAGGATCAGAATCTCCAAATGCAGCTCAAACTGGGCTCTAAACATCCAAATTATAATCTATTTGGGACCACTCAATGTTTCAGCGGTCCCACTTTATATTAAGTGTCTCTAATAACTGTGTAGTTACACATGAATAACATATGCAACAACACTGTAACTACTGATGATTTAGTCAATGTTACAGACGGATTACAGAAGTACAGCCTATGTAATTACATGTGTGTATCAACTTCAGTTTTGCCTCATGTAATTACACAAGTTTCCTCTACTGTAGTGTTAGTTACACTTTAAAATAAGTGGACAGTTCCTGTGTAGTTGTTATGTAGGTACTGTGTAATAATGGAGTGGTAATATAGACTTTGCTTTGGGGGGAAATGCAACACATTTGATTAATGTCATAAAAGCTACATTTTAAGATAAGAGGACATCTGCTCTACTGTCACTTTACAGAATGATTTAAAGCTGAAACTGGTTACAGTATCACAGCACTAGCAACATAAACACTAGCTAAATGTTAGGAAAGCTGGCAGATACAGTTTTAATGTAAGTTATTACATACTTCCTTTTACTGCTGAAAAAAAAAACAAAAAAAAACAAAACTGCTGTTTCAGTCTGATTATGAATGTAATTACATTTGTGTTATTACCCTTGTGTAATTACCTCAGAGATAATAGGCTGTTACAACTATCAATATACACTTGTGTAATTACATGAGGCAAAACTGAAGTTGATACACATGTGTAATTACATAAGGTTTATGTCTGCAATCCATCTGTAACAGTGACTAAATGATTAGTAGTTACATGGTTGTTGCATATGTTGTTCACATATAACTACACAGTTATTAGAGACAGTTAATATAAAGTGGGACCGTTTCAGCTTCTGAATGAAGCAATGAAGCTCTCCATGCCACTTTCACTTTTCCAAAATGGACAGTAGCCCATTTTCACCATGTGCCCATTCTGTGAGGAGTAAAGAAGATCTGCACTTGAAAACATTCGGCCCATTTTCTTTGTGCTGCATCTCCTAAATCAGCCCAAACTTGGTTACAGAGTTATGGAGATCTGAGTTGTGAGTGAAAAAGTTTGTAAAGTTTTAGCCTCAGAAATGAGGTGGAGAAACTCATCATACTCCTTTCACTTTTCCGAAGTTGTGTACAACACAGTGAAATTTCAAAAATTTCCATCTAGTGTGTATAATGTTGATGTGAAAAACTTGTGTCAGAATATTTAGCAATTTGTGTTTTATCTCATTCCTTAAGTTTCCTTAAGATTAAGATTTCCCTAAGACTCACCTATGATTCATTCCTTCATGCAGAAAAATATAGGATAGTACATACATCGGTTGGTTATCATATATTTATATATTTTTTTTTGTAAACAAAATAGCCAGTGCTTATTATGTTGCTTAAGGCAGCATGGAAATTATCATTAATTTAAAAATCTAGGCAAGTATCTATATGCATAATGTATAATAAGGATCTAGGCTAGTGGATAGTTTGTTTATTTATTTACCAGGCCACCAGTAGGGGGGAGTATTCCTACTGTAAATAAAGTCCAATTCTGTTTCTCCTGCTTGTCTCATCTTGTCACTCAAGCCATTATCATAACACATACATCGCTGGATATAAGATGGAGTGATGTAATAAGGTTCTCATTTTTTTTTTGCCTTCATTTATGAATTTAATTTTCCTCCTCAGATGTTGGCTGAAGATAGACAAAGACTTTTTCTGGAGTTTTTTGGGACCTGTGTGTTGCATTCTTGGTGTAAGTGTTATGAATTCTTATGTTTAAATCATCCAGAAACTGCTTATTAGTCCTATTAGCTATAATTGTCAATTAGACAATTAGCTATAATTGTCAGACATATCTGTATTTGCTAATTATTTAAATGTATACTTTACATGGCTCTATAGTCCCTAACAGAAGTCATATGTATTCCAGATGTGAAGTGTCTAAAAATTCCATGTGTGAAAACCATACGTGATTTTACATGTGAAATTCAAGTGTTTTTTTCTATAAGGATTTCCAACAAGGGTGATATTGAGGTCTGGTCTCTGGGGTGGTCAGTTCATTATTTTAAAAACACGAGCAGCTTCACTGTTTGATTTGCACATGTACTTCTTTTTTCGCTGTTGTTTCTTTTCTCAGTAATGGCAGCTAAACGTCATTTCAGACCCAGAGCACTCGTTAATGTATCTTCTCACAGTGGAATGATGGACAGAAACACCTGTGGATGTTTTCAGAGCTGAAGCAGATTGATTTTCTCTTCCCTCTCATAGCTGAAATCTTTAAGTGCTGTTTATGTGATGGTATGGAGCCTGGTAGGGGTCACTAATGAGAAAAAAAAAAAATGTGAGGAGGAAAATCTGTCCCCACAGATTAGTAATCCTTACTCTCAGTTTATAAATGGATTTATAAACTGTACTCTCAGTTAGCAAAACCGTACTGATGGATTTGTAAACTGTACTCTTAATTTTAATTTCTGTGACCACCGATTTTTCTTCAATTTTCCCACAGGTTAGTTAACTAACTGTGTAAAGCACATGCTACCTCGCACAGCTATGGTACAGGCCACATTTATGACTATTTTGAGAAAATGGAGAATGTTTTGACATTTCTGAAAGAGGAGGCAAGCAATTGGACAACACAACTGTGTCAACCTTTTGTGACGATAAGATAAATATTAGCGAGTAACGTTAACATGAAATAAAGCATCTGTACCTTTCACATACACTGTTATCAAAGGCTTTAACATTTCATGAAATTACAGTTTAGCCTTACTGCTAAATGGAGTATTTTGTAGAAATGTATTATGTGAATGCATTTCTTTAAAACGAGGCAAACATAATCTCGTTTTTGCCTATATTATCTCACCACATGGCCAGAGATGACTGAATGGAGTCTCAGCCTGGAGAGCACATCGCATGTTGAACCCTATAATGTTAAGAGTATGGGTTACTAAACTGCGGGGACAGATTTTCCTCCTCACAATTTTTTTCTCATTAGTGACCCCTACTGCCCTCTGTATCATGGGTACAGTTTTGGTGGTCATTTGACTGTTAGGAGTCTCCTTTTCTCTGTATCCAGAGTTGCTCTTTGATTGCTAAGGAGAAATTTAGAGTAGATCTCTTTTTTGAGTGCTGTTTAACTGATGGAGAGAGTTTTGATGGGCTAACAGATCTTTCAGGTGGTTGTTAGGAGTCCCATTTTGTAGCTTGTAATCATTTTATGAATGCCAGTTTTGTAAACTCCTGTTTTTTCATTTAATTTTCATTTGACATTTCCTTCCTTATGCAAGTTATCTAATTATCTGATATCTCCTGATATATATCCTGAAAGACCTACTGAAAGATCAATATGTAGCTATTAATGCACTGACTTTTACACAGTATTGTAAATACTGGTGTCTTTTTGTTGCTGATATCGACCAATATATGCATAATCAGCCTGTTAATATCAGCCTGTTTATGTCAGCTAAATGAAGATTCATTTGGGTTCATGTGATCATGTCATCAAATTCATTTCGTTATGTTATTATATAGATGCTGTTTGATTATATGGCAGATTTTACAGCTACATTCTGAATTATTCTTTTTTTTTACTGTGCAGTTAAACCTGATCCTCTTTGTTGCCATCTTTATCAACGTCACCTTCACTTTGAAAAACCTGAACAGTGAGATCTTGCAGAGAAAAAACACACCAGCTGATAAAAAAGTGATTCAAAGTGTGATGCTGAAAACCATGGCCCAACTCTTCATCCTCGGTTGCCCCTGGATACTGGGTCTCTTCACCTGCAACCATAAAGTGCTGGAGATTATCTTCTTGTTCCTCAACTCCCAGCAGGGCACTTTCATCTTCTTCATCCACTGTGTCCTCAATAAAGAGGTCAGCAACCATTTTCTCTTATGAACTTACCTCTCTGACATTCTTATGTCTGAGCAGTCTCGCCTACACTACTTCCACCCAAAAGCTGCCTTACCACTCTTAGCCAAGATGATTCTTCACGAGTTCTTTAGTAAAGAAAATGGTTCTGTATAGAGCCATGTACACTTAAAGAAAACTTTGCATGATTAAAGGGTTCTTTGCATCATGAAATGGTTCTTTAGGTTAATGAAGAATGTGCTGCAAATGGTTCTAAATAGAACTTTTTTGAAACGTGTTCTATACAGCATCAAAATAGGTTATGCTATTGTTATGATGTCAAGCTTGTTACCCTAGAAGAACCCTGTTATATAGAACCCTTTTTAAAATGGTTCTGTACAGAACCATCTACAGTACATTCTCCATCAGTCTGAAGAACAATTTCATCATGCAAAGAACCCTTTAATCATGCAAAGGGTTCTCTACTTTTTTAAAAAAAAGTGTACTCAACCTGAGAACAGGGGTAGGAATTAAATATTTGTCATTTTAGATTTGGACTTTTTGAACCAAAATGCTACCCTGTTGTCCCTAACCCAGTGTTGTACTCACATAAATCACATAATTCAGAACCAGTTCATGGTTAATTAAATATTATAATCTGTTTTCTGCGAGTTATTTTTGCCATTTTATTCAATGTATGGCCTATTGGCCTAATTATACAGTAATTATGCATTACGTTCATTGTAATTAATCATTAATTACATAGTAATTATTCATTAATCATATATTTGGCTACAAACATCAACAGTTTTGAGTCTGCACTTCAGATTCAAAACTGAATTCAGTTCCATTCTTTGTCTGAAATGTTCTCATGAAAACATTTTCCATCTCTTCCACTTTCAGATCAGAGAGCAATGTAGAATGAAGTTCTGCCTGCGCAAAAAGCCGATCACCTCTAACTCTGACATCCAAATAAAACAAAAATGAGCTCAACATCCACATACAAAATAAAATCACTGTTCATAGGATAATGTATGTTAATAGTAAACCATAGCAGTGTAAAATTACACTAGAACTTACTGTGATTTCATTTTCACTGGAGCATGGACAGTCTTCTCTACAAAAAGAGAAACATTTATGCAAACTACTTTCTTCCTCCCAGCAAGGAAATACTTTGTGCATGTGTGTGGTATTACATGAATTCCACTTCATTTTTTTAACTTCTTGAAAATATTTATTTTGTGTTTTGTAGAATTATTTTATCACTAGACTGAAATTGATTTGCTTGTTTTATTCTAGTAAAAAAAACATGTTAAAATGTTGCCTTTCCACAACAGATTAATGGGAAATCCTTCTGATTATTTCAGTCATTGAGATGTAAACATTCAGAGTAGTTTCATGTAAAAATGATTTATTGTAGAGAAACGTCCTGATTCAGATTTTTTTTTACAATGCTTGTGAAAGGAACCAGAGTTGACAATGTCTACAACACAAATATAGACATTTTACTTATGATCCAACACCAGCAGTGCACCTACACATTTCTTCTGAGATTTTATATGTAATATTGATGGTGATAAAATAGTGATAAACCTGAATAATCATATCATAAATGATCATTTCATGAACAGTTTTGTTTATAACGGGTAGCAGAACCAAACAACCAGAGATAAACCAAAAACAGACAATGCTAAGAAGACAAAGTTCACAATAACATGACTTTGCATTAAACATAAAGTAAGTTAAACAATATTGGGCCGACACTGAGGAGGTGTGGTACCATCCCTACATGAAGTCATGTGAGAAACTGGATCAGTTGTTTCACTTTGCAGTTGTTTTATTGTTTCAACAGTTTAAATGATTCTGTATGCATCACTACTAGTAGAAATACAAAGCAAGCAAGGCTAACAAAGACAGCAAAGTATGTGCTTGAGTTAATAAATCAGTCAAGAGCTGGCGGATTTATTTTTACACAAATAAAGCATGTTCTGTTTAGGTACGGTGCACTATGATAGCCTGCTTAGCCTCTAGATTTGTTAGCAGCAGCCATGAAAGCAGAAAATAAAATCTTGTAAATCTAACAGCCATGCAATAATCAAACAACATGCCTTTTTAAAAGTGTTTCTATTTTGGTTTGTTTAAGAATATGTGATATAGCGGTAGGCACACAAACTTCTGGACTAGTCAAACTGACTGATAAGCTTTGTCAAGCAGTGTGGCCACAAACCTTACAATGGTGGCCATTTGACCACGGATATGTAGGGTTAGAAATGTGCAGAGCCAGGTAGAGACAGTGTAAAAACAAAAAAAAAACACATCTTTGTAAGTGAAAACATGGCTTTTTTTAATTTGTATTTATTTATTTATTTGGCTAAGTTTGAGAAGAATTTCATTAAACAGCTGTGAAAAATATTCTGCATGTTCAGAAGTCCTCTGTGTGAAAAACCTGTCCACCAAGTGGAAAACACAACCTTTTCCAATAGGCTAACCAAACAGTAAAGTTTCCATTTTGACAGTTAAATTTTAAGCTAAATTTTAAGAATATTTTCCTTTAATGAGGACACAGTCATGAATACAATGGAATTTAACTACAAGAAAAAATCATTCAATGTGGTAAATCCCCCACTTTTTGTCCCTGGCTAAGAAAAACATTTGAGGGATTTTACGCAACATCCCTAATCCCCAAATAAGGGGAAATCTTACCTTACGTGTCACACTTATAGGGGAAAACATTAAGAAGTTTATATAACTAGGTCCACTCCTCCTTCTACACTGTGTGCCAAATGTCCAGACAAGGTAATTTAGCTAAGCGACATGGAAGACGTATAAGATCTAAGGAAAATCATTGACTTGAAATTGTATTACAGTATATACCCTCAGAAGTATTTTGAACAGTGACATAGTTGCTTCATGCATGCACGAATGTTTAGCAACACATGTATGAAGCATGTAAAAAGTAATTGCCCCTAAACTTAATACCTGGTTGTGCCACCTTTAGCATCAACAATGATAAACAAAGACTTCCTATCACTGGAGATCAGTCTTTAACATCGCAATGGCAGAATTTTGGCCCACTCTTCTTTGCAAAAATGTTGTAATTCAGCCATATTAGACAGTTCTCTGCCCATTTAAGTTCCTGCTCCAGCATCTCAATGGGTGCCAAGTCAGGACACTGACTTGACCACTTTGAAACCTTCATTTTGTATTGAATTTCTCTTGAGCAATTCAACAGTGGGCTTGCTTGATCATTATTTTCCTGCATAACCATGCTTGAGCTTCAGATCACAGACTGATGACCGAACATTCTCATGCAGGATTTTCTAATAAAGAGCAGAATTCCAGTTCCAGTTTCCATCAATTACAATAAGTATCTATGGTCTTACATTTTCAGCATTTCAGCAGATGCTTTTCTCCAGAGTGCTTTGTTGTCCACTCAGAGAATATGTCCCAGCTTGGGTAAATAGGTTAGAGCCCAAACTACCTTTGAGCTAAGATGTGGCCACAAACAGGAGCAAGTGCTGATACCTATAAAGAAAGTTTTACAAATACAGAATTAAGACATAACATAAGTGCAATAGGAGACATTTCCATAAATGCTAGATTAGTGTACATTTGCATGCTTCACAAAGAGATGGGTCTTCAGGCAGTGCTTGAAAACAATAAGGGACTGTGGCTGTTTGGATAGCCAGGTTATATCCACTGCCTGGGTGCCAGGACAGAGGAGATTCTTAATGCTCATCTTCCATGCATCCTGAAGGATGGAGAGTCAAGCTGAGCCATACCTGAGCCATACTTCTTATTCCAAGGTGATTATATGGCTCTGCAGTATAATCACCATGGAAGAAACCTTGCTGGGCCAGGCTTGTATACTTTGCTTATTCTCAGATTTACCCTTCACAGCAATGTCTACTCACATCTGCATTGAATACTGGTGAGCAGTTTATAGCTTCAACTGCTCCTCAAACTGACTTACTTTGGTTTTAATGACGTTGAGGTCATCAAGGTCCCTTTTCACTATCTCATCTTAGCATCTTGGCCATTGCCTTGTGCACAGACTCCTTAAACACGGCCATAGACTTTGTGTCCATGGCAGATAATACTGTAGCTTTCTTTGTTTTGTGCCGAACAGAGGTAGTAGTGTTGCTATCATAAGAGAACAGCATCTTTTGGCTTTATGACCACAGAGACTCCTATACATGTGGAACCCCTCAGTCTGAAGAAATGGCAGCACCAGGTTGGTTGTATGCTTTTACTAGAGCCACAAGCACAGTCAGAGGAAAAACAGCAGCTAGTTAGCATTGTGCCTCTGCATTCTAAAGAGTGTGTGACAGAGAATTCAAATCAGTTCCATATAATGGCAGGACCACATGTTTTACAGTATTAGCTTCTTCTTTTATAACAAGTGAAACAGTACATATTGTAGTCTATTTAAGAAATGTGTACATGTTTATTCTGGGTTATATGTTCTGTAGCAATTGGTCTCTGGGTTTATTCTGACAAAGACTCTTGTTCTGAAGGCAAGGCTAGCCCACTCACTGTGTTTGTGCCTGTAGAACAGGAAAAATGAGTCAGGGCTTAGATGTGAGAGAGAGTGCAGATCTAAGCTAATGCTAGAGCTAGGTGTTAGCCTAAAGCTTTGCTTTCTGTACGATGTGGTTGGGTCCCACTACAGTGGTACAATATGAAAGCAAGAAAATACAGATGCTGCTGTGTTTTGAAAATCAAATACATTTTTACAAAGAATGGAGAAGACATCTGAGAAACCATGTCCTCTTGGTGGCAAAACTGGACTAAACTGGAAATGGCAGTAGTCTGTTTCATTAAATACTTCACAGGTTCCCAACCCCATTCTTGGAGCACATACCCCTGCACAGTTTTGTCTTTTCTTGCAGTTAAACTCAGGAAATTCTTGCTAACACCAGAGGAAGTAAGGAGCACTTGGTTAAAACCTGAATGTTTACTGAATGTGTGTTGAGACCTTGAATGGGCAACTTGGCTTTGTGCTTGGCTTTGTGGTGATGTATACCTTTTGATTGATTAGGTTGTGGAGTATTTATTGAGGAAATTAATTGCATGGAAGCTTTTGGGGATGCTACTACTGATGAAAATAAACTCGTGCATGGAAACTGTGCTGAAAGCCAATAAGAAACTGGTAGCTGGACTGGTGAACATCACTTTTCAAGCATTAGGTCAATAGATTACAAAATGATAGGTAATAACTGCTATAGAACTCATTGTTTCAAAAAAAAAAATGAATTTTACAGGACATTCATTACATCCTCTGACATCTCAAACGAAATGCAAAATCATTTCTGGAACATTGGAATTAAGTCCTGTGATACACTAGGTGTATGATTTGGGCATGATATGAAATTTATGGCAAGTTATCACAGCAGAAGCATCTGGGGTATGGACAGCCTTAACCCACCCTGAGAAGATGTCAAGTACCCCCTGCTGAAGTGGTGTGAAAAGACAATTTGCTGTTTAAGATAAACGCTAAACTTGTTGATGAGTTAAGTAAAAGTATTTTATTCAAGAATGCTGAATTCAGCATTGTCTTTGCATTGTGGTTGATCAAAAATCATTACAATTTTAAAGCCAGTGCTGAACCTGAAAGGTAGTCCAACCCAAGTCCCAACTCATTGAATTGTAGTTTTGGATTAGGTATGATGATGACTGCACAGCTATCAGCAACTGGATTGATGTCCACACACTGTAGGGGAAGGGGTCCATTGACTGATATTCAGAGGACTATAGACTGTTGTTTTCAAAGACATGTTCCAGTTGACAACAGACACATGCTGACATGCAGCAGCCCTGATGAATTTGCATATGCGTGTGTGTGTCCGTAGTATTTACATTTATTATATACAGTTATCATACACATCAATACAGTCTTACATGGAACAAAGGAACATTGTTTATGGCAAACCTGTTCTACTGCCTTTAGGCAAGTCTCACCTTCAAAATGCAAATGAATGACATTTCCAGAAACTGTCCAGCCACATATATCAAAACATATCCAAACTCATTTCTCACAAAACTCTCACCTGTTCTCTGTGGATGAGAAATCAACAGAAGAAATTTGAAAAAATGGATGTAAACATCAACTACCTTTTCACAAGTGAGTAATGTCTTCTGTTATTTGAGGCAAAGGAGGGTTTATTTGGGGGACTTCAAGACTTTCTGTAAAAAAGTACTTGTACTTTTGTAAAATGACGCTTGTTTATAGGAATGGCATGTTTCACTGCAACAGGTTATTTTATGGTAACACTATTCTTAGTGGTCCTTTGTAGTTGATTAATAAAGTCTTTATCAGTATCACATCAGTGAAGTAGCTAAAGAGATGTGGAAATATTTGCATATTTGGATATGAATACCAATATATATGCAGGTCTGAGGAAACATATAAAAACTATTATATGGATCATTCTATTGAATTAATTGATATCAAAATAAGAGTTGAAAACAAAAATGGCATTTTGAACTTGTAATCCTTTTGCTTTAGGTGACCTTATACTTTATGTTTATTTTGTTAAAATAAAAGATTAAACATTCCACTTTGTCACTACCAAAACAATTACAACATTACTGAAACTTTACCAAATGTTTTGATAGTGACTGTTTTGGTGGTGAAATTTCTAGTTAATTTTGAGCAGCACTTAAAAATGCTAGCCAGTACAAAAAACACAGCTTTGAACTGTTATTAATCACCAATCCAACACAACTAACACCACAAAAAATATGTGTTGGTATGACGATTCTTAATGTTCCACACTGATTTCCTGACTTTGGGGCAAATTTACTTCAAAACAGGATTTAACTGTTCACTGTGTAGCCATGAGGGACAGGCAGGCAGGGGAGGTTGTGATGCAGCTAAAATAAGGCTCTGACTTTGGACTAAAACTCTGGGTTTGTGACATGAAATTATTTATTATTATTATTATTATTATTATTATTATTATTATTATTATTTAAAAACAAACTCTCAGTGATGTTTAGTGTAAACACAGTAGCAGTATGCCAAATCTTATGTTTCCTACAACTACCTAGGGTACTAGCCTGTGAAGTTTCATATTAATTGGTCAAAGTGTTTCTGAGTTAGACTTGTATGTTAATGTAAGGTCCACCCCATAACTGGGTGGTGCCCAGACACTACCCAGTGTTGAAATGCTGTAGTGCCACCATAAGGCTATTTGGGCTGAACTTGTATGCCTGAGTAGTGGGAGGGACAACTCCCTATTGACCAAGTTTCATGTCTGTACAACATACAGTTGGGTCTGCATGATTTGTTTTAGTAAAGAAAAAGAAGTAAAAGAAGAAGGTTAAATAGAATAAAGAAAAATCCTGACAATTACAATAGGATTCCAGCACTTTGCGCTTAGACCACAAAAATTCTAACATTTCTAGTGACAAAGTGATAAATGGAACCTGACAAAAGATTATTGTAATGTGTTTGACATGGGATATAGAGAAGGGTGGCACTGGATGATCTTAGGACACAATTTGGAACAAAGAAATACAATTTCATGGTTAATTCTAAAGGAAATAAGCTGCTATTGGAATGTTTCTTAAATTGGTCTAATGTGATCTCATTTTCTAGTAAATGTTACATTTTTGCTGCTGCATTTTACACATGTAGGACATTCTGTGAGCAATATATTACAATAATCAAGGTTAGAAAAAACAAAAGCATCAATTTCTTGGCATAGGGTCTCACCCCTGCTACACTATATGGCCAAAAGTTTGTGGACACCCCTCCTAATCATTGAGTTCAGGTGTTCTATCCACATCCATTAACAAAAGCACAAAGCCATGTAATCGCCCTAGACAGGCAGTAGAATAGGTCATACTGATAAGCTCAGTGACTTAAAATGTGGCACTGACATAGAATGCCTCCTTACAGTTCATGAAGTTTTTGCCCTGCTAAATATATGCCATGCTATATACTTATATCATCTAAGAAAACTGACCCAATGCTTCTTAAAAATCACATAACGTATAAAAAGAAAATAAAAGCAGACCAAGCACAGTGCCTTGTGGTACACCAAAGAGTACCATACATATCTGAGGCATGTTAAGCTATAGTAACAAATCATTGTCGTCCAGTTAAATGTGTAGAAAACACAATCCCAGAAACATCTCAAGTGTCAAACTGTTTAAGAGATGTCATTTGATCTATAGTGTTAGATGCAGCTGTTACAGAAGTACCAAAATATTGCCTGCAACATCATTTATTCTCAGATCATTTACAATGTTGCTTAAGTGCCATAATTTGGTCTGAATCCAGACTGGATTTTTCATGGATAGTGTTTTTATTTTAAGAAATCATTGACCTGTGATAAAACTACTCAAAAAGGTCGGGACATTTTACTCAAAAATGGAAGGTTAGAGATTGTTCTATAATTGCTTGAATTTATAAACTTGAATTTATAAGACTGCGTACTGCCACTGATTGAAACTGGTTGAATATATATGATGATAAATGGATACATTTAAATTTGTCTCTCCACCAGGGTTCATTGTGCTCATACTAACTACAGAACTACCTACGGGTGTGTCTACAGCCACAAAATGTGATGTCCTTAACAAATTGATTACACCTGCATTCTCCTGTAAGTAAAGCCTAAAGTCACCTTCACTCAACCTCTGTCACATTATTTCTAGTATCTCTTCAACTATACAAACATAAAACTATATATTTTACATTTAACAACACATTACAATATACAAGGGAAAAATTGGAGTGTTGGCCAAATCATCCAGTAAACAGATATCAGTGTCAGTGACAATATTTTTTTCAGTTGTATAGTCTTTGATATATTTGTGTGGAAGGACTGTCCTAAATGCAGTGTAAGGTCACCATGAAAACATTGCTTTAATTAATGGTCTTCTAAAGAGATATTTTTTCAGATTTTTGTACAGGGGGTATAAGCTACATCAATCAATATTTACCCATGACAAACTGTGCTACCCTGGTGGGTGAATGAGGAAGGAGTACAGTGGAAGCAGACATAGAGGTGCAGAGATATTTTCTTATATTACTTACAATGAAACAATAATGATTAGAGGCTTGGAGCATACAGTGCTCTTCAATAACGAAATCACGAGTCCATTGCTAATCCTGTCATTCAGCCTTAGCTCATTGTTCATACATCAGGTTTCTTTGTTGCCTCTGTTCCTCTCTCTTAACTCTCTCTACTTGAGGAAAAAAGGCATATTAGTAGGGAGAGAAACAATTTTCCATGGGTGTATGCCCTTACCAATCAGCCCACTCCCTCACTCGAACAAGCCCTTTTCCTCACAGACAGCGCCTGACCACGCCCCTGCTGCCACATACACCCATCACACAACTCAGACCGGGCACCCCGTTTTACCAAGGCAGGAGAGGAATCAGTCACCAGTATCTAAGCCTCCAGCCTGTGGACCATCTCAAACTTAAAGGGCTGCAAGGCCAGATACAGCAGATACAATTAGAGATCTGGACCAGAGTTCCCACCTATGGGACACTGATCCTGGAAATGACCAGGTTCCCCAAATCTGCAACACACCTGCTTTACCCCAGCTTTTGTAGGTTCAGCAGATGCCACCTGCAGAAAGAGAGGGGGTAAATGTTGAAAAGTGGAGGGGTTAATGCGCCCTGTACATTACATTTACATTTTACATTTACAGCATTTAGCAGAGAAGAGTCTTGATCCTTGTCTTCCACGCATCTTGAAAGACGGCGGGTCACGCCGAGGTGTACTCAAAGCTCGAAGGGCTCGAGGTACAGTTTGAGTTTTGACCATTGCCATCAGGCAGGGAGGGGCTTGTCCATTTTTGGCTTTGTAGGCAAGCATCAGAGTTTTAAATCTGATGCGTGCAGCTACAGGAAGCCAGTGAAGGGAGCGCAGCAGTGGGGTGACATGGCTGAACTTGGGGAGATTGAAGATGAGTTGTGCTGCTGCATTCTGGATGAGTTGCAGAGGCTTGATGGCCGCATAGGAAGACCAGCCAAGAGCGAGTTGCAGTAGTTAACCCTTGAGATGACATGAGACAGATCTAGTACCTGGGTAGCCTCTTGAGTGAGAAAGGGTCAGATCCTCCGGATGTTGTACAGGAAAAACGTGCATGACCGAGTTAGGTTTGCGATATGAGCTGAGAATGATAACTGGCCATCCAGAATCACACCAAGACTTCTTGCCTCTTCGGACGGAACAATCAGAGAGTTCTTGAATGAGATGACAAGATCATGATGAGGACCTGTAGTTGCAGGGAGGAATTGCAGCTCAGTCTTGCTAGGATTGAGCTTCAGGTGGTGAGCTGCCATCCATGAAGAGATGTCAGTCAGACATGCCGAGACACGACTGGAAACCTGTGTGTCAGAAGGTGAGAAAGAAAGCATTAGTTGAGTGTCAGCATAGCAGTGATAGGAGAAGTCATGAGAGGATATTACCTCACCAAAAGAACTAGTGTAAAGAGAAAAGAGAAGAGGACCCAGCACCAAGCCTTGTGAGACACCAGTGGAGAGCCTGCATGGACAGGATGTGGACCCTCTCCATGTTACCTGATAAGAGTGACCCTCCAGATAGGACTTGAACCCCTTCCATGCAGAGCCAGGGATTCCAAGGTTGGTGAGGACGTCCAGAAGGATTGTATGGTTGACGTGTCAAAAGCTGTTGAGAAGACAAGAAGACATTACGCACTGGTATGTGGAAAAGGTTATGGGGAAATACTTTCCTCTGTGCACTGAGCTAGTACAGGAATCAGAACAGGAGGCCTTCTTTAGGGAGGTGGCTGCACTATACCCAAACACCTGTTCCTATGGGTAGGTGGGCTATGAATCTTTCCATTAACACCAGATCAATAAGTCACTCCAAGTTCCATTCTTCAGCTAAGACCCATCTCCTACAGGAGTTGTGGAAGTGTTGCATGAACACCAAGGTCCTGTCGAATTCCTGGAGCATCTACATCTCCCTCTATGTTACACTCATCTACCACAATACATAAAAGTGTTGCCTGCATTTGGCACTGAAATCTTGGTGTTTAAGAGTGTACTTGAGGGTCAGGAGGGAGCAATGATTAGCAGTAAGGCTAAACCTTACCTGAAACAAACATGCCAATTCTACCTCATGTAAAAAAGTTGTAGTAACTATGTCAAATGTATAGCTTTTAATATTAGTGCAATGGCCTTAAAGGGTACACTGCAATGGTTAAAACTTACAGAAATGCTAATTCCACACCAGTGGTAATTTATGTTTTTTATTTGCTTTTTTCTTAAAAGACAGATGAGATGAATCAATGTAATTTGAAAGTATATCAATAGCTGTTGTCAGCTATCAACCTAATATGTTTAACATTTTGTTTTTTCTCAGACAATGTTACAGCTAACGGGAATTCTAAAGGAGCTCCATGTGTTTTTCCATTCTTTTACAATGGATCATATTATGATGACTGTGTTAGTTTTGATCACCCTAACCCATGGTGCAGCACAACTGATAACTATACCAGAGATGGACAGTGGGGAGAATGCCTTGACTATGGTAGTATTCATCAAATCTCTGAAATAGGTACTTTTTTGTATATTTAATCTATTGTATTAGCATGCATATATATGTGGAGCTATTAACTCCTGTTCAATCATCTTGTTGTCAGATGTTTGTCAATGTCACAACACTCTGTCTGACCCATGGCGGAACAATGGTTTAAAACTCAGCTCTTTCCCTGAATGGCAAAACTATGACATTACGTTGAAAGAAGAGTGGTACCGCTTTACTGGTATTGGTGGAGACCGTATGGCCTATTACTGCTCAAGTAACATTGTCAGCAATGACAGTAATGAGTTTTGGCTTAATTACAGTGAAAGTTCTGTAGATTTTTCCCAGTACTCATGTGATCCAGTCATTGACAGTGTACGGAATCTAGACTGTGGTGCAGGACTGATCCTCTACTACCACGTTCCAATCAGAGGAGTTTACATGACACGTAAGTAGTTTGAAGGGCCATTATTTGATTTTGTCATAAGATTAAAGTGCCAAGAGTTGACTTTGTAGAATTATAGTGTTTGTTGAAGACATATAGACATATACACACACATATTGAGTTCAGGTGTTTCAGTTACACCTGTTGCTAGTAAATCTGTAAAATCATGCACATAGCCATGCAATCTCCACGACAAACACTGGAAGTGGAATGGGTTGTACTGATGAGTTTAGTTACTTTAAATTAAGTGGGAGACGATGCAAAGAGGAGAGAATATCAAGTATTAAAGGGCATAATGTGTAAAAATTGTCTCTGGAAGCCACATTAACACAGCAACACAATGCCAAGTGTCAGCTGGTGTGGTGTAAAGAGCACTGGGCTCTGAGGAAGGGGAAAATTGCTTTCTAAGCTCTCATTATCTTAGATAAAATGCTCATATTCTGACCAAAAAGGTAAAACAAAACTTCTAAATGGCAGTAACGAACCTACAGAAAGGTGCAACTCACACAGGAGTGGTGGGGCACCATTCTACTGTGCAGCATTGTTTGCCCAAACATATTTGGCACAGAAGAGTAACCAGAAGCAAACCTTATCTCATCTATCTCATGATAAAAGTAAATATCTGAAGTATGCAGAACAACATCTAGATAAGACAGGCATTTTAGGAACAAGTACTGTAGAATAATGGAACAATGGAACTCTCTAGCCACAATCACCAAATCTATGTTTGGAGAAAAAAAGTAGCAGCATTTGATAAAATTCCTTGCCAACTATAGGTACTATAACTTTACACGTCCCAGTACATGCATCTGATACAAAAATCACACTCAACACTTTACTCTAATAGGCCTATAAAAGTAGTCATCACTAATCATTGGTTAATCAGTATTCTATCAGGCTGGCTTCTTTTTCAACTTTTCTCAATATTCCATATTATATATTGATTGTATGCTTTGTTAATTTTGCTCTTGTTGTGATACTGTTTTGCTATCCTGTGTCAACCAGAAGAGAATAAGTTCCCCTTTTGAGTCTTGGTTCCTTTCAGTGTTTCTTTCTCTTGCTCTTAGGGTATTTTCCTTGTCCAAATAGGTGTTACTGATTTAGTGGGGTATCCAAACTTGTGTACATGCCACAATTACAATTCTGTTTTCAGTTAAGCAAACATAAAGAAACAACGCATTAATATTTGCATTTTTTTTTAATAATTCACGTCCGATATTGTGTTTAAACTCATTTCACTTTAAAACGTCAACAAAATATGTAATTTGTTCAGTGTTCTCGAAACTTTTGCATACAACTATGCAAAAGACTGCAGAGTAAATTGTACACTGTGGTTGCATAATACATTAAACTATTTTTATTTCAAAAAGTGAGGAAAATGTTTTTATGATCAGGGCCCTTTGAAGACTTTTTGTAACTGAGAACCTCTGAAGTCATGTGTCGTGTTATGCCCATGTAGGGAAAATGCCTTCATAATTTTATCTATGAGCAAAAACAAATGTTATAAACCAGGAGCTTCTGGAGTTTTTAACCTATATTTTCATGCTAAACTGAATGTATCTGGTAAACTGAATGTACTGTCGAATTGTGTAATGATCAGCCCTAAAACTAAAACAAAACACTGCATTAAAAAGACACATTATGCTATTTGAAAGCATAATAAATATTTAAAAACAATACATTTAAATAAAACAAAAACAAAAAAAAAATTCAAAAACTTAAATACTGTCATATCTGCTGCCACCAGTTCCCCTCCGCACCAGCAGAGGTCTCCCTTACCTAAATATTGAGCCTCTGGTTGACACCTGCATGCAATCAGACACGATTTTCTGAAGTATTTAAGGTATAATTAAGCACATGCTCTTTGTGAAAGCTTGTTTGGAAAAGTCCTGCAACTCTGAGCCTTGTTTTTCATGAGTGCCTACTCTAAGTTATGACCTTGTGCTTTCTGTCTACAATTGTAAGTACTGGATCATGGTTTTGGACTGTTTGCCTGCATGTCACTGGACCTTACTGAGTAACTTCATTACTCATTGTTTAAAATGCATCAAATGAAACCAAGTAGACAAAGATGTGTCCATGGCATTTTTAAACAATTAGCCAACATGATTGTATAGTACACCACAATTTGGCAATCGACTGGGATAAGCCTTGGGTCTCACACCCGCAAGGACCTGCACAGCTACACATTGACCCAAAACTGAAGACAATGTGGACAATGCATTCCTTTAAGCAGTCATTGCAGAACATTTTTAATTGTTCAGCCTGTCTAGTGCATTGTTTTGTCTTCTCTTGTGTGGGGGATTGTAGAATGAAGAATACATGTTGAGATGAGATGCATGTCTCTTTTGAGTCAGTAATAATGACAGCCTAAACACAGGTCATCTTCAGCTTCTCTGAACAATACATTCTGAAAAAGTCTAGTCAAGCCTGCAAAGACCAACCTTTAATTAAGTGTTTAATTAAGGAATATGCATTTGGAAAAAATCACAAACAGCATAGAATGTGTGCTTTAAACTGCCCCTTCCAAGGACACAACAAATGAGTTTAAGAACTCATATGACTAATCCAGATGTAAACTTGTATTAAACTCTAAACCACAGCTAAGCTAATAGCAGTACTGCTCTGCTTAAATACACTGGAAAAAGTATCAGTTGTAAATTAATCATTAAGAGTAATCAATCAAGTATACATGCATGTGTATAGGTTATGGCAGTACTTTGCAGATCGGCAGTAAGTAGGTAATCATATGGTAATGTTCCAGTAACTAGTGTTACTTTCCAAAAAATATCATGCTAATGTTCTAGTTGTTACTAAGTAATAAGTTTGTTATTACAATGGCAGTAAGTAATAAGTAATAATTTTAAAATAATGGTAACTAACCTAAAATTTACAAGCTATAGTTTTAAAAACTATTTTTTAAACTTAACATAAAAAGATAGTCAGATTATATAAGCCCCTAAGGTGTGGTGTTTTTTCCTTTTTTATTCACAACTAATTTCCAAGTCTTTTGTCAGATCTTCCCTTTATGTGATGTTCCACTTCAGACCTTGATTCTAGGTAATATCAGTTCATTTACGCAATCACAACTCTTGACTGTACGTGGGTCTATATGATAAAGTCATAAAACAATCACGAGTTATTGTAATGCAGTCATTTTTAATACATAATATGCAGTCATAATTTCAGTGCAGATTTCAGTGTAAATCCACATTATTTTGAAGAAGTGATGTTATAATCTGAGAAAACAATATGGGTAAAATGACATTTGCATTTTTACAGCTTCAGTAGTGTCTAATTTCATTGTAATAACAGCCTCTACCTGCGTCTGTACATTGTACTGCGGCAGACCATTTAAAAACTTAAGTAAGAAACTAAGTAGAAATTAATGAATTACTTTTTTATAGCACTAATACTAGATAGATCATTATAACAGAACTACTGCATTGTTTTGGGATTAATAACCCTAATATTATAAAACTTCAGAATGATTTAAAAGAACTGGGGTAATATGTACATTAAGCAGATATTATTCTGTAAATGAAACAAATATTTTTGCATCAACTGGAAAATTTTATTACCATTATTTTATGCTGTCACAATTACCAAATTATTACACAATTATAACTTAGTAGTAACTGGAAAATTGGCATGACATTTTCAGGTTAGTAAAACCCTAATACTGCATCATAATGACCCATTATTACGAAGTTTGTGGAAAGCAGATTATAAAAGCAGATTTTTAAAAATGTGGGTCTTTTATTACATAGGAAAGGCAAACACAGGAAGCCTTTTCTGAAAACCATGGTTATTAGTACAGACAGGGATCGAAAGACAAGCAGCCAGAGAAATCCAGGGCATGATCAAATTTGCTAAAACCCGACACAGAAGAAAAGGGGGGGAACAAGCCCAAAACAGACTAGAGAAAAACAAGACAAAAAAGTATTTATTTATTTTTTACACAATCATCAGTAATTGCACTTGTCTTGATTGCTTCAGTTTGAGCTTAAAAATAGTTTTTTTTTAAAATGAGTTTTTGAAAAAGCAGCACATTTTGTTACAGCTATATTATATCCATGTGAGTACACGTATCTACATGAAATAAAGTGAGTAAGCACAGTTTCCAATTTTTGTCACCAGTATCCTTCGAGAGCAACAGTAGCTGCATGTTTGAACTCCATGATTGTAGCCTCTTGCTCTACTGCTACGTTATGTCTTGTTTGAGCGAAAACTGTGCATATAATTTGAGTATGTTGAAAGGTTGACACTGAACATTTCTTCTAGTAATTGTGTGATGGCCCCTTACACTGCAGCTTGATGTGTAAACAAAAACAGTGATAAGCAGCTGCGCTGTGGCTTTATCTCTGTTAAATGTAACAATTAGAAAGTGCAGTTTAGTGAAGGTTCTGGTTGTAGTTTATTGTCTCCTTTTATTCAACCAAAAAACTGAAGCTGCACTGATGAATCTATATGCTATTTGCTGATTCTGATGCCCTGCTCTGAAGGGAAGCGACAATGTCCTCATAATACACCCAAATCAAAATCAATCCTATTGAGCACATCTCTGTCCATTACTGCATAAATCTAGGCACAACAAAACCCATCAGACATTTTCAGAGAACTGTTAACCTATTTGTGCACAGGACAAATAAAGCCTGCATCTACTGCATTTAAAATATGCACACAATTAATAAGAAAGCATTTCCACTAGTCCCTTTCTCCTGCCAGAGACAAAAGACTGTCTGGCCCTTGACACAACCACCCAACTTGCATAGAGAGCCCTAACATTAGGACAAAAACAGAACTTCTACCTAAATACATAGACTTAAAGGTGTATTTATTACCCCTATCTTTTACCATTGGTACCAGCAGCCCTAGAACAACTCAGAGCAAAGATATAGACTAAACCTGATCTCCTTAGCGCATATAACCTTATCTTCTTATCTGCATTAAAGAGGGTGTTGAGTAGAAAACGGCTTTCTCCACTAACAGCGTCCACTACAAATACTTGGTACTTACAAAATACTTGATAATGGAGCTGTTCCTTCCCAAGCCTCTGGTAGTACTAGTAAGCTTCGTCCAAATGCTTTTTTCTCCCAAAAGCTAACATCTGCAGAAGGAAATTATGGTATTGGTGATAGCGAACTTCTAGCAATAAAAATTTCTTTAGAAGAATGGCAACATTGGCTAGAAGGGTCTAAACATCCTTTCTGCATTCTAACTGACCACAAGAATCTTGAATATTTATGAAACGCAAAATGTCTCAATCCTCGCCTAGCTCGTTGGTCCTTATTTCTCTCTTGTTGTCTGTTTACTAATACTTATAGACCCAGTTTCTGAAACACTAAAGCGGATTTCTTGTCATAGAATTGGAAGTAACAAAGAGAAAACAGTACTTGATACACCTGAGAACATAATTGCATATTGCCCGCTGTTAGATGCGAAGAGGATGATAAAATAGACAGGGTACTAGAATGCTCATCTAGCCCCACACAATGTTCACACACTTGGGCTCTTTCATCTCTCACTTCTGATCACCCTGGGGAGGCATGGGAAAGTATGTTGGCTGATGTTGACCATTTCCCATCATCCTGTACTAGCTGCTCTAAATGTAAGACTCCAAAGGCTTTGCCCTCTGGGAAATTGGTTCTTTTGCCTCTTCCTTTTCATCCTTGGTCTCATATCACCCTTGGTTTTGTAACTGATCTACCTCCATCACAATACACCACTATCACGACAACAGTTAATAGTTTTTTTTGAGCAGTCAGATTCATCCCTTTTATTACATTACCCTTAGCTTATGAAACTGCAGAAGCCTTGTTTAACCATGTTTTTGGATTATGTGGCATGCCAGAAGACATCTTATCTGATCATGGCCTTCAATTTACTCCTCTATCTGCTTTCTTGGTTTAAATGCAAGTCTAACATTTGGATATCATCTTCAGACTAAGTGAAATTGTAAAAGGGTCAATCAAGAACTAGGTATGTTTCTCAGAATAAACTGCCAAAACCACCAGTCTGACTGGACCCAATTCTTACCTTGGGCTGAGATGGCTCAGAACTCTCTCACTAGCTCTGCTACAGACATCACTCCTTTTCAGTGTGTGCTAGGGTATCAACCTCCACTTCTGCCCTGGACTGCTGTTAACACCAACATTCCGGCTGTGGATGAATAGATTAAGAAATGTAAAAAATCTTGGTTTCAGCTTGGCTCATTGAAAAAGCTCTGATGAGGAACAAAGCCTAGGCTGATCAATGTCTGGGTGATACTTCCCTCTATGTACCCAGGGACCTTGTGTGTCTGTCAACTCAGGACTTCAGGTTTGAGGAGGGTTGCAGAAAACTTAGGCCTAAATATATTGGTCCAGTCAAGGCTTTGAAAAGAGTTAATGAAGTTATGTACAAGCTTGATTTACCCAGAGTCTGCTTGCTGAGGCCACACCCAATGAGGAGCCGTCATTATCGGTGGGAGTCGATGGAGCCCCATCTATGCTGTTCATAAGTTGCAACACTCCAGGCAGCAAGGACGTCATCTACAATATCTGGTGGACTTGGAGGGGTATGGTCCCATGACATCCTGGATCCTTTCACCAACTACACCCTAACAAGCCAACCACTTGTTCCAGAGGATGTCCCAGGAGCCAACGAGGTGAGCCCCATGAGAGTCATACAGGTGGATGACCTAGGGGTCATCCTAAGAAAACTTCATCTATCCAGCACCACATCAACTCTGGTGGTTCAGAAGGCATCTTTGGCAACCGCTATGTGAGGTAAAAGGCTGTCTGCAAATTATATTACAAAAATGTAGCCATATAAGGGTCTGAAAACAAGGTAACAATATGGAGCCTTATGAGCCAATATGAGTCTTTTAGCAAATGTTCATGAGGAGTGTCATATTTTACACAGATGTTGATATACCAGAAATTGTTTGTCACATTTTACACAAATTAATATTTTGATTATGGTATGGCAAGCAACAGATCTGGGATAAAGGATGAAGAATCCCACTGTATATAAAAGGCATCAGACACAAAAAAACAAAAGATCAGTGCCCATCTGGCCTGGCAGAGTAAAGAAACATAGCATTTTGGATGTATGCCAAGTTCTTGTGGTCCACCCAGACCAGAAACTGATGTTCTACCCCCTCCAACATGTGTCTCCATGGAGAAGCCACAATGCTAAAATTCCAGGTACGACACAGAAAGAACTTAGCAAATCCCAGGAATTGTTGGACAAATCAAAGTGGAGTGGCCACACCCCACCATGATCTTTGAATTTTAACTGATACCAAACACAGACTGCTGCTGGATATAACAAATCCAAGAAAAGTGACTGGTGAAACATGGAATAGAGATTTCTCCAGTTTAACATAAATGTGGTTTTCCAGAAGCAGCTGAGGGATCCACTTGACATGAATTATGTGCTCATCTAGCCTTTTACTGTTAATGAGGATCTCATCTAGGTAGACAAACATGAAGTAGTTGAAGGCCTCCCATAGGACCTCAGTGATAAAGACCTGTAAGATGACTGTGCATTCATTAGTATGAAGGGCATAACTAAGTACTTATAGAGGCCCAATGGTATAATGAAGACCATCATCAACTCATACATAGGTACTACACAGGTCCAACTTGGTAAAGACTGTAGCCTGCTGCAGTGACTCAAAGGCCAGATATAGTCCTCCTTGAATGGCCTTCCATTCGAAGCTAGAAAGGAAAAACAGCCTGCCTCTGGGTGAGCCAAGAGATTAATGGTGCAATCTTGACCTGTAAGAGGGAAGGATTTGGGCCTTGTGTTTCCTAAATACCCCTCAAAGGTCAAGACCCAAAACAGAATGAGTTAGACAATCAATGCATGGGCTGTGCAGTTGTAATCATGGGTGCCCAGAACAATTTGCAGCTCAGGTGCCTCAATTAGTGACATAAACCTGCTATGTAGGCTGACCCAGACATAAGGTGAGAGGAGGAGCCTTTACGTGATGGCCCCAAAGCCAGAAGACTGGCTTTTGATGGCTCAAACCAGAAGTGGGTGATCGATAGGAGCCAAAGACAATTTCACAGCTACCGCTAATTAAGAACCAATAAAAATCCCCACTTCTCTGGAATTAACAAAAGCTCTGAGGGTTTTTTCATCCTGCTGCCCCATTAGATGGTTACACTGAGGAATACCCAAGAGGCCTGGGGAAAGGTTGTTGTCCAGCCTAAGTTCACAATCAATTTGATCCTAGAGACACAATGGGGTGCCGTAGCCTACTGATCTTTGAGCTCTGCTACAAGGTAGCAATTCACACTTCTGCATTCCAAATGCTTTACTCAAAGGTGGCCACTGAACACACCCTGCCAGGCAAAGGAGGTGGGGGTAACTACTTTTGCAGAGGATGGATTATCAAATGCACAGCATATTGGCCATAAACTGACCCATGAAGGATCATATAGACAATTGGTGTCCTCAAACAGGGTAGCCCATACCAGAGTTCTGCCAGTGAGAAGCAAGATGATATATGCTACATTGACATGCCCTGTGCTGAACCTCAAATGCAAGAGATCACTGGAGAAGGAATCTCTGACAGTACGTTGGATCCCGATAACACCTATCAGGAGATGATAGGGCTTGAAATTAAGGGTTTGTTTGTAAGACTGGGAAGTAGGAAAGGCTGGAGAGATATGCAAGATTGACAGCCTATGAGAAGGAAACCAGAGACCTCAGGAACATCAGGGGAAAACACTGACTCATTTTGATGTGGAGCGTAAAAAAAACTTTGCCCAACTGAAAGTATAAATTGGAGAACAGGGAGCCCAAGAAAGAGAAGGCTTGAGAAGCCAGCAGAACCCTGAAGAGGCAAGCTTGAAGGGATTTTGTCTGGCTAAGGAAAGTGTTAAGTAAGTGCAGACACAGATGCTGCCAGTTGCCATTAATTATTAAAGAGGAGCAATTTGCAAATTTTTAACATTAGATTACTTAAGTATGCTGTGAAAAAAAAATAAAATTTGATGAGGAAATTCTTTAAAATAACTTTAAAATAATTAAAATAACTAAAAAACAGCACATTCTCCAAAGATTGGCATATTTCTATAATCTTACACATTAAAAAATCATTTAACATTTTATTGCCAAATTAGTCTAAATCATTAAAGTAAGCACTTACAAACATCCTAAATCCTTTGACTTGAGTGGACAATACAAAAAAGACAGAAAAAGACCAAGTGGAAGTGGATAGTGACCTTTGGAGTCTGTACACTTGCACATGCAGACACAGCAATACAAACAGGTTGGTCTGAGTTTTGCTCATCAGAAAATTTCAAAAGCACTGATGTTCTAGTTGCCATGTTATTCCCTTCTAGCTGGGCAACTAATTACTGAAGTTTCCACAAGTGGTGGATTACTCTACTTTAACCTTAGACATCTAGCTAGCTAATTAACATTATTTTAAACTAAATTAGCTAAATGCCTATGGCAAGCTAGCTCACCTCATAGGATGTAATTGATATAGACCATATACAGTAAGCTAATGAGGCTTCTGATATTCACTGAGTTTTTAAGCTAATAGTTAAATATTACTAGAAAATTAGCATATGATTTTGACCATTTTATTACAAACTTGTGACTGATACAATTATTAACTTATTATTTAGTAACAACTTAAAAAATAGCATTTCTTAAAGTGCAACTTGTTACCGTAATGTTACCATGTCATTCCCTACTTATTATGCATCTGTAAAGTGCAACCATTACTTCTATGGCAGCAACATTATCAACTTCTCACCTGTTAATTATTAAACTGCATTAAAAAAAAAAAAATCAAACACATTTTAATATAGTTGTTTTTTTTTCCATATGACAACCAAAGAGCACATCTGTATTAGTTTATCACAACCAAGTCTATATGAGCTAATCAGTAGTAACCTAAAGCAGTAGAACTATATAATCTATTAAACCGAGCAGCACACCAATATCACATAACATACATATAAGATTGACAAAAATATTTAAGTAGTAATTTTAAATTGTACAAATCTTTGTTTTTGCAGTGTTTTTGCCTATACTGTTTAAGTATACTGATTTAATAAATTGAGTGATGGGAATAAACTGATTTATTTATAAACAGTTATAATTTTAAAATTGTTATTTTGTGTTGTCTTAGAATTATGCACTTACTCTTACTCTTATGTGTAACTTACCCTGATACCTGAAAACCTCCACACAATTCTAACTTAATTTTAACTTAATTTTACTACATTAATAAATTTGCTGACATATTTGGGTTTACAGGGCAATTCAACACGTTCATGTTTGTGGCTGGTTTAGAGGGGATGTTGTTCCTGAGCTTGACCCTGTTGACCTTTGTTCTTTGTCGAAGACAACTGAATGTGAACAGCATAGCTCAGGTCAACCTGTGCATAAACCTGCTGTTGGTTAAACTCGTTTGGCTCCCAGAGAGTTTTATAAATCACATACGCACAAATCAGGTGAGAAATATTTCCTATATCAGTAAAATTTTGAATCTGTTTTATAACTTTACCTGTTTTAATAACAATAGTTTATAAAACATCATTTAGCTTGTGCATAAGAATGAACTAATCAGTAAATATGTATTTAAGCGTTAATCACTTTTAGTTTATATTAACTGTCTACAAAAGTTAATATATGTTTACTTTTTAAGACATATACACATGCATGCTACTACTTTATAATTGAGTAATGATAAAAAAATCAGGAATAAATATAATGAAAGCAATGTTTTATAAATGGATTGCAATTCAATGTAATAAACAGTAAAATATAAATACATTATAAAGTTATTTGAATTCCTGCCACAATATTTGAAAACACTTTGTGGCTGTGATTTGCTTTTTTCAGAAAGTGGGTTTGATTCCACAGCATTGGCTGTAAGAAGCCAGGCAATAATATAATTCACCAGGTCACATCAATATTTACATATACAGGTGAGGCTAAACGTTTACAAATATCAAAAATGTTGGACATACTTAATGACATTCAAACTCAACTACACATTCCATATTACCCTACCTTTTCATGCTAATCTTGGAGGGCTTCGTCCTTGAGTGACAGCCTTTCAGGCCATGGTGATGTGAGTGTCTTTTAATGGTGGATACAGACAGTTTGGTACCTGGTGGCTTCAAGTTCTTAACCATTTCCTTTGTTGTTGTCTTGGGGTTCAGTTAAACCTTGTGGACTAAAGTTGGCCCTGGGAGTTTGGGAAAACGTGCCTCCTTCCTGAACAATGCAGTATCTGTGTGGTCCCAAGATTCAGATTTTTTTTTCTGAGTTCTTGGCTCAGTTTCTTGGAATTCCACATGGTTTCAAGGGCAAAAAGGCACTGACTTTAAGGATGTTTTCACACCTGAAAGTCCGGACCAAAGTCCAAACTAAGGTTCATGTTTTTATTACACAGTATACATTTGATTTAGTTAGTTTCGGTTTCACATTGCAATTTCGTGAGCACTAAAGAACTTTGCATTATAAACCTACGCCCTGTTACTATCACCTACATTGGACTGGATTTCTCTATACTTAAAATTGATTGGTTTTTGGGGGGCGTGTGTCTGACATCGGCGTGTTGTCCCGAATGGTGCAATCCTTTGAGCGTTGATCCATCAGGGGATTGTGTGTTCAGTCCTCTGCGATGCTACAGACATCTGTGGCCGGGAGTCCAAGAAAGCACAATTAGACTCGCTCTCTGGGTGGGTAGGGTGACCCTCTCTTTCACCCATCAAGAAGCGTGACTTTGAATGCCTTTAGCTTAGATATATGTGAACTTTTGGCCTCAACTCTATATGAACATGCCATAGATACACAAAGCATATGAACATTAGCATACATTAACTCCTACCAAAATTATGAATGAAAAGGATTTTTAGTGACATTAACAAAGTGACATTATGATGCTAAGTTTTTTAATTCTGTATTTCTCTCTTGTCTAGGTGGTGTGTGCAGTGCTAGCAGGCTTTCTGTACTTCTTCATCCTCTCTTCTTATACGTGGATGTTCATTGATGCTGTTCTGCTGTTCATCTCTGCAAAGAACCTCACGAAGATCAGATCAAAGCAGAAGGAGATGCTTGGCTGGAAATGCATGACTGTGATTGGAAATATTGTTCCTCTGATTATGGGGAGTGTGTCTGTTGCAGTGATGTTTAATGAACCCAGCAGTAAAGAGTGAGTATCAGGGGGTGGGGGGGCTTCATTGGATAGTGGCTTAGCACAAAAAAACTAATTTTTATGTATGAATTTGGAAAGATGGCAATATTTCATTTGATGTCGATAGAGTATAGTTAATTAGAATATGTCTAGAAGATCCTGTGTTTAGGCGATAAGTGGTACATTTTTACAGTGTATTAACATAAGTAACCTTTAATTTGTCATGCTTAATTAAATGTATTATGCATTCGCTTCTCCTTAGTTGCTGGGAAACTAACAACATTGTCTTTACCGGGACTGTCTGTGTTTCATTCTTACAGTAAGTACTGCAAACCAAGGGACACTGTAAAAAATGGTTCATCAATTCTTCTTAAACTTAAATATGATGTCATGGTGTAACAAGTAAATTAACTAGTTTTATTCAACTTAAATAAATACTTTGAATGAACAATTAATTCAATCAAAATTTTTCTTTAATTGAATGAAACTAGTTGAATTGCTTGTTACAACATGAAGTAATTCTTTTAATTTGAAATGAAGAGCCATTTTTTTACAGGGAAGGGAAGAAAAAGTTAAACATATTCATGAGAAAACATTTGGTCATTTATAAAAATTAATAATAAATTAATAACATTTGCTTTTTTAGTCGTATTTTTTTATTTTTGGTATTAATGTCTCACTGCTTCTTATAAAGCTCCCATGTTCTATGAAGTGTTTTTTAATAACTGTGTACTTACACATTAACAATACATGCCAGCACATTGTAACATCATTGTCCACACACACACACACACACACACACAAATACACAACAACATTTTCTTAACTGCAAATCCGTCTGGGTCCCTGGGGGGGGTTGTTGGAGCCCACCCCAGTGGTCACTCGGGGGGAAGGCAGGAAACACTCTGGCCAGGTTGCCAGTCTTTGTCCAAAAAAATCATTTTTTTCTTTTTTTTAGGTTTAAATTTCAGAAAGAATGGATCGATAGAAATGCTCCAAAATTGTTGGGAAATAAAAACTCTGTACATTAACTCACATAAAAATTAAAGAAAGTTGCTTTTGTGGAGATGCTTATTTTCCATTGGACAGTGATGTTAAGTAAAACCACATACACATCAACTTCAGTTTTTTACAGTTTTTTTTTATTACACTAGTGGATCTCGATCATTGCAGCAACATATTGTAACTACATATTAATTAATGTCTTATGTAATTACAGATGAAACACACACATGGTGTGTATAATGAGATGGACAGCTGATGTTATTTAAGGTGTTGTATAATTAATTAAAATATGTGTTGTATTATACTACCCCAAAAAGATATATCAGTTTATAACTTCACTGAATCTACATAACAATTATACAGGAACCTCCCACTTATTTTATAACTTGGACACCTGCTGTTGCTGTTTAAATTCCATTGTATTGAATGTTGATTATCTTATCATGTCATAACACAAGTATACTGCTAGCTAACTGTTCGGAAAGTTGGCTTTTCCTGTGTAAATGCAGAGCACACCCGATGGAAAATCATCAGTTTACCTTACTACGTGTGTAAATGCATAAGAAAAAAAAATACAGTAACAGTAATTTACAAGAGTAAAAACTGAAGATGCATGGGTATTTACATAAGCAGTATTACTCTAATACATCTGTGAATACATCACCAGTGGTTGAATTGTTGTAGCATGTGCTTTTAATCTGTAACTACACAGATACTAGAGACACTTCATCTAAAGTTCACAGGCTACACAGAAATCTGATACATTATACTGTGCATTATTAAACATACATTGTTGCTGTCAGATAACAAAACGTTGTATCGCTTTACAGGAGCAGGAAAAACTTTAACTTGTAATAGTAGTTCATGCAAAAAAACCAAAAAAAAAACAAGAACAACAAAAAAACATTGCTTTCACAAGCAATTTTGGCCCGTTTCTGTCGGTCTGTTCATCATGAAATCATGCAAAGTAAAAACAACAAATATAGAAGTACAAGGTTTTTTGTGTGACAGCAACAACTTTTTTATTTCATCTAATCACACTACATTAGAAGTTTCATTCTTAATTTTTCACTATGCAGGCAAATGTGATTCTCTTCATCGCCATCTTCATCACTGTCACTTTCAGTCTGAAAAGGCTGAACAGTGAGATCTTGCAGAGGACACAAACTCAGGATGATAAGAAACTCATCATAAGCGTGCTGTTTAAAACCATGGCCCATCTTTTCATCCTCGGTTTCCCCTTAATACCGGAGTTTTTTGACATTAACAATAAGATGCTGAAATGTGTCTGTATAATCCTCAACTCCCAGCAGGGCACCTTCATCTTCCTGGCTCATTGTATCCTCAACCAAGAGGTCAGCCATCACACTGAACACCACTCTCACACACAATACTTCTACCCAAATGCCGTTTTATTTACTCAGACCTGAGACCAGGGAAACTGGATATTTGTCGTTTTGTTTCTTTCTGAACCAGTACAACACCTGCTTTGGTGTTTTGCCCAAATATATTACTCAGCTATTTACCTTAAAGTGAAAAAAACATGTAGGAAACAGGACATGAGTTTATATATGAAGTATATAGAAGAAAACAAAAATAGATTCATTATTAAAACATTTTAATTGCTGCCTATTAGAAAAATAGAAACAATGCATTGTCCATTAAAATACAAAACCTGTGACTGAAGTGCTCCATCTCTGATCATTAAAATGGATTTCCAAATTGTTATTTTATTCTCTTTTCAAGATTTTTTTCAAATTTTTTCCTGTTTTGGAGGTGCTTCACGTTTTGCACTATGTATGTTGTCTTCATATATTTTGATGTAAATATGTATGATATGATGAACATTTTTTATTTCACTTTGTAGGTGGGCAAGTGAGTCAGCATTCATAAAAGTGTTTGTGTTTAAGTGCTATCCTGATTGTGTTAGTTGTGCAGGATTTTTTTATATGAAAGCTGCAGTTGTTCTGTCTGTTTTATCTCAACATGGTCATCTCTGTAGAAATGCATGGATAGTTTTGACAGCAGGTGGTTCTCACCCCACCTCTTTCACTCCCATTGCTGTCTTGCAGCTCAACACAGAGTCACAGCCTTTTTCACACACAAAATACAACAGTGTCCTAGTTAATCTGTTAACAGGATTATGGGGGGTAAATATTTTACTTAATTACTAAAAATATCCACTGGTTGCCAACAGAAAGAGGCTACAGATAACAATAACCACGATAAAATGACTGTATCTACATCCTGCTTCCTATTTCTATTTGGATTAGGTTGACTGGTATGGTAGCAACAGAGGGGGATTTACTCACAGATTTTATAAAATTAGAGTCCCTATCTCTAATGTTACTGCTGCTGCTGTAATAAGCAGTCATATAAAAGGGAATAGAAATAAATTTAGTTGAAAGGAAGATTACCCCTAAAGCTGCTGAAATGTTAAACTCTTAACTTAATTTTTTATACAGTTCACAACATCAACACATCATTTTTTGCAAAATGACTCTAAGAATTTATTGAACTATTGGGCTAATAGTAATCCTGGACTTTGTATGAGAAGCACAAAGGAAGTAAGTTAGTTTGTCTGCTTGCTGTTTGACTCTGAGTGTTTGTCCTCTTTTAGCTCCTCAAATAAACGTTCTAGCGCACTAGTGGCCAAAGCTAGTATTACATCTAAGCTCACCTGAAACTGGAGAGACTTTGGTTATATATCCTCCCACTCCCTCCCCCCTGGGAGGATCAACATAATGAATCCTATAATTTACCTCACCCAGGCATTGAGCAATCTTTGCTGGGCATTTCCATTTAGGCACCAATTTTGCAGTAAAACCTGTTTCAGCCTTGGATAGTGGATGAGATCTGACCAACACCAGCTGACCAACCTGAAGTCTTGAGGGTTTTCATCTGGTGTTATAGTAGTGGGCTTGCTTACATTGGGCTCCTTCCACATTACAGCATACCCACTGAATTAGTTGCTGTTGCCTTGCAGTAGTCTCATATGCATCATGTTTGGGGGTCATTGGCTTTTGAGTGAGCCTCTCCAATGGACCCTTCAACTTCCTGCCCAATGCTACCTCAGTTGGTGTAAATCCCATGCTTTCCTGCCATGCTGAGTTGATTGCATACCGGAACTCTGAGATCCACTTGTCCCACTCCCTATGTTGTTCTCGGACATAGGATGCTATCATGTTTTTCATGTTCTTGAGTGTTCGACTGACACATTCAGTCAGGTTAGTCTAGGAGTGGTATGCTGTGGTCAATTTTTGGATGACTCCCCAGTGCTTGCATGGTCCGTTGTGACCTCAAAGTGAATACCTTCTAGATACACTGTCCATTTTTCAATGGCCCATACAACTTCCAAACATTCTTTCTCAAACACAAAATATACCATAGGCTATAACAGGGTCCTCACCATCTTCTTCTGGAGGTAGCACTGCTCCTATGTCTGACTCGCTTACATCTGTTTTTACATGAAACGGCTTCTGGAAAATTTGGTGGTTTGAGAACTGGTGCAGATAGAAGGGCTTTCTTTATATCCTCAAAAGCTTGTTGGCAATCCTGTGTCCAATTCCATCTTACTTCTTTTTACTTTAAGCATGTAATGTTGCAGCTCTCATAGAGAAATTTGGGATGTAACAATGGTACCATCACACTAGGCCAAGAAATTGCTGGTCCCCCTTAATGTTCTTTGGGACAGGGAAATCACAGAATGCTCTCACTTTGTCAGGATTAACCTGGATCCCCTCACCTGAGTTGACATGCCCCAGAAAAGTAAGAATTTGTTGCATTAGGTTACACTATTTCAAGGGCTTTCAGATGTTGTCCTTCATTGCAGGAATGCTCCACCACATAATCTATATAGACGAAACAGTTCTTTCCCTTCATGTCTCTCAGTACATTCTCCATTAGTCTCTGAAACGTGACTGCTGAATTTTTGAGACCAAACAGGAGATGGAGAAATTCAAATGACTCTTTATTGGTCACAAATACTGTTTTTTGTATACTTAGAGTCCATGCTGACCTACCAATACCCACTTCTCAAATCCAGGGTGCTGAATATGGATGCTCCATGTAGAGACTCTAGTATTTCTTGAATTTGAGGTGTTGCATATGCATCTAGATGGGTTTTAGCATTTAGTGCATGGTAGTCCACGCAGAACCGCATACTGCCATCCTTTGGCACTAACACCACCAGTGATGCCTAG